TCTAACTGTGAATCAGTTTATGTTGGTTTCTTTCCTTCTTCTTGAAAAAGGAGAAAAAGTCAAAGTTGTTGCTGTATATATGTATTTTCCAACAATTTACTGCTCTAGAGCTATGCACAAAATGTTGTCTTGTGTTAAGATGATTGTTGTATGCTGGTGTTGCAAGAATATGTGTCTTGAATTATAGATGTTTCTCTTTTCTTGGGTGAATTGCCTAAAAAGGAAATTTTTAAGGATCTGAGGGATTTGTGGAAATTCTATTAGACTAGGTATAACTGAATAGCATTTACTTTTAAAAATGGATATTAAATAATATATATTGTATTTTTTCATATATATTATCAATTATACAGTATATTAATTTTGATTATTTGTCAATTTTTATATTTGTTTCATTAAAAAAAATAATTTATTATTAATCATAAATCTAATTTTCTTGATATTTTTTATATCAATTAATATATGGTATATTTTTGTATAATTTTTTAAAATATCTTGATAACTATAATAAATAGATTTCAATACTATAAAGTATAGTTCTAGTAGTAAATAAATAATATTTAAGTTTTAGATCTTTTAAAATTTTATATAAAGTTTTATATTATATTATAATAGTTTTTGCACAAGTACTTTCTTTTTTTTTTCTTTAAAACTTGTGATCTTTTAAATTATAAATAATATTTTATTTTTCCAGTCTCTTTATATTTGTCATAGTGAAATAAGATAATATTCTATACTTAGTACTATTTTCTCAGCACTAATGTACTTGTCAAATTTAACATTTTTCCTTTATTTTCATTGGTTAGCTAAATACAAGTGGATGTCATTTTGGAGGAAGGATTTTTAAACATGGTGTTTAGAAAGGGTCAAAAAAATAAACAACAAAAGGATAGGCATGAAAAAATTAAAAAAAGGAAAAAAATGTCATATTTTAATTTATTGTTTCTTTTTATATGTAAATCAGACCTTTCTTTTTGAGGCAACTGTACAAAAAAGATTTTAATTGAATTGCAACTGCGCGACTTACAAAGGTTTTTGTGAAACAAAAAAATTCCAGTTTTTTTTTATCAGACTGCATATAAATATTATAATTTTTTATTATATCATGATAACTATATTATTATACGTAAGTAAACTTTTCATTATATTCGAATTAAAGTTTGAATCCCGTCATCACTACATTAATAAAATTAAACTAGTAAAAAATGAATCTCAATTTCATCAATGCCATCAAACAGGTTACTTTAACATAGAGAATGCGATTTTTATTAAATGATTTACATTACTTATTGTTAATCAATTATGTTATATGTCAGCATTCTATATATAATACTATACATTAATTATATATTCTAGAATAATTTTCATTATGTATCTCCTAGTTATACCCTCTATAATGTCTAATTTTTATATTGCCTGTTCGGGGCTTATTATGATTTAACTTCGAGAGAACGCACAAGTTACTCGCCTGACTATATCGACAAAACCTAAACTCAATAAATGTATCGAATAGCTATATCACTTATAGCCCATGTCACAACTGCCATGGAAATAATTTAGTTTCCCTCAGATCCGATGGATTTCACGAGAATCGATTTCAAAAAGCCGATATGCTCCCAAAAAGTTCGTTAGCATCTTCCAATTAACTTCCTTTATAATAATATTGTTTTGCACATACCTAAATAATCCATAAAATAAAACCGAAGACTAAGCCAATATTTTGTACCATGTAAGCCCTGAATTGCAATGGTGGTTCTCGCTTCAACTTCACTTCAGATATAATGGCAAAGTTTACTACATCCTTCCATTTTGGACATAATATGACATTTCTTTTGTGTTATTAACGACATATGGCCAAGATCCTTCGGTAATATAAATTTCGTATGGCTTTTCATTTGTAGTATATGCAAACGGTCTGCATTCCCTCGTTGTTTTGTTATCGACTTCCTATACGCTAATGCCTGAATAACTTTATTTCCCTTAAAAGTAAAGAAAACATAAATATATCAACAATAATATCTAAAAAGATAATTATAGATGGTACTTAACGGTATATAATGAAAACCCGAAAATAAAGATAATGTCTTCTTTAGAAGGGGATAAACATATGTATGCATAAATTCATCTTCAAGCGTATCACGATTTTTGAGAGGATTATCACAATGCATCTAAGCTAAGAGATGAATATGGTTAATAATAAAACACATTAGATCTGAGATTAAAGAAAATCACTTACAAAGCTCAGATAAAAGTCTCTTCAAATTTCTTAATAGATCTTCCTCCGGTTCCAATAAACTTTCTACCCTATCGTTCCATTGTTGTTGGGTATATTCCGGCTAAATAAAGAAATAATGATCAAATTTTGAAACAAAGATTTTCCATAGATAGTATATAGTAAATACCTCTGAAAAAAAATTATCAAGAAAATCAATAACATTTTCCGGGAATAACCTATCGATAGGCTCAACGATTTCCCTTATAACTTGTTCGTAATCATCCTCACCAGTGTATCTTCTGAAGACGGTGTAAGGTTCATGATTTTGACTCATTGGTAGAATCCTTTTCTACCTTTGAAGTGAGTTGTTATAGAGATTTTCTGCAGTAAAAAGGCTTATTTTCTTCCTTATTAGTTTTTTAGGTCCTCTTAGAGTTTTCACTTTCACAGTCTTTTGAAAAATTTTGTTTGAATTTTTCTCAAAGGTGATTGATCGACATAAAATATATTAATTTCTGAAATGTAAACAAGCTCCTATTGGTCACAACCATGGTGTAACAAATTTATGATTATCTCCTTGAAGTTAGAATACAATTTCTAAAATAGTCTTAATAAATTATAGGTATTTTAATTAAAAAAAATATTTTTTATTAATAATCAAAAAGATATTGTGAACTAGAATCCTTCAATAATTAAGGATTTTGACTTTTAATTATAAAATAATAATTTATTAAAACATATAGTATCTAAAATTACTAAAAAAACTCTTTTCGCTGATCCCTATTTTTTCAGAAAATTTCCTTTTTTGGCAATTTTTTGAAAAAAGAGAAGCCAGCCCAAAAAACAAAAGAAAATCAACATCAAAGACCATCCACTTACAAGAAACACTATAGAACCAACTATTTACAATACAGGAATAGGTAAGTATCTAAAGACTTCTAACCTTTCTACACATAATTTTTCTTTTTTAGGAAGAACAACCAAAGATAAAAACTGAATCATAGTAAGCTCTTGGAAGCCCAACATCAACCTCACAAAGCTCTCAGCCAGGCCAGTGCAGGTTAACACCTTTCTAAACACCAAGAGAAACCTTACAAGCAATAATTTAGACCGATAAATCAGTCTAAACTTAAATACCCATAAAATTCAAAGAGACGTTCAAGCTTCATTGACTACACAGTAAAGAGGCACACACATCACAACAAACAAAATTTCAACAAATACAGCATCACGCGAATGCGTACACGTATATTCTTCCAAGAAAACAAGATTAAAAAGACGTGTTCATATAAACAACGTTTACAGATCATCTACATATTTACATAACCAGGTCAACAACACTCATATTTTCACGTGTCCATATAAACAACGTTTACAGATTATCTATGTATTTATAGTAACCAGATCAACAACATCCATATTTTCATGTGTTTATAACAAACTGATCAACAACAATAACACAACACCCTTATTACAACAAACATGTGAAATGGAATCTAAATTTATAACACAGCAACTTTAAGGTTTTTCCGCATTACCAAATTAGTAACAAGGGATAAACAAACCTTCACTACGTGTTAGAAACAACAAAATACAAGTTAATCCTATTAATCTGTGACACATGACAAGTACATGTCAACAACACGAAGATTATTACAAATCACAAAGAAACGTGAAATTCATATTCTAGAAACCCTAATCAATTTATTTAATAAGTATGATCAAGAGAAAAAACTATGGGCAACATAAACAATCCTCAACACAATCTCTATACAAGAAGACAACCCCAACCCAGCCCCTAGCCCTACAAGATGCTGAATTCTAGATAGCATTATAGCTAAAATTCTTAACATCGACCGCACTACTTTCACTAAAGCTACAATTCTAAGACAAC